TTCAGAGCAGCATCATAAAGCAAAAGAAAATGGTGAGATGGCAGCAGTGGGGCCACAGATCCCCAGCCAGCTCCTTCATCCTCTGACCCATAGAATCGTTCTGGTTGGAAAAGATTGTAAAGGTCATCAAGTCATTAACTGCACCGAGGCCACCACTAACCCATGTCCCTCAGCACCACATCTACAGGGCTTTGAAATCCCTCCAGGGATGGGGACTCCCCCCCTGCCCTGGGCAGCCTGGGCCAGGGCCTGACAGCCCTTTGGGTGATTAAATTGTTCCTGATATCTGATCTAAACCTTCCCTGGCACAACTTGAGGCCGTTTCCTCTTGTTCTATCACTTGTCACTTGGGAGAAGAGACCAACCCCTCCCTCACTCCAACCTCCTTTCAGGCAGCTGTAGGAAACCAGGAGGTCTTCAGCCTCCTTTTCTCCAGGCTGAACACCCCCAGTTCCCTCAGCCACTCCCCAGAAGACTTGTTCTCCAGCCCCTTCTCCTATCAAAGGGTTTGCTGAGGAACAGGCCAGTTCTCAGGACTCCTGTGAAGCAAACCAGGCTGTTCACCAAAACTGGGGAGATCAGAGTGTTGCTCTGCTCCCCCAGCTTGCTGGGAATGGATGGTTTGGGGCTGGCTGTGAATTGCTGCCTAGCAGGGAAGGCAGAGGAGCTGGGGAATGATTTGTCTCTTGCAGTTTCTCAATCGATCTCCAGCTCCCGACGTTTGCAAACACAACAAAAAATAAAAGGGAAGGAGGGAAAGTGGCAGGTGCCAGAGAGAAACTGCAATGTGATATTGTGGGTGGAAAAGAGACTGCCAGACCTGAAAAGCTTCCGAGCAGGAAAATCAAAGAGGAGGAAATTGCAGGAGAAAAAAAGGAACAACTCAAAGTGCTTGGCATTAAAAGGTGCTACATCTGGAGTCAGCCCACAGCAAAACCAGCAATGGGGTCTGTACCTTCTCAGGTAGCCTTGGGAAGAGGTCCAGGCTCTGGGAGGGCTGAGCTTGCAGGATGCAGACTCAGGCCTTTCCCAAAAAGGCATCTTTCCCAGGCAAGAGTCCCAGAGAGAAAAAAAAAATGTCACCACAGCCAGGGCACAGCCAGAGCAGCACAAACCCAACCCAACGTCCCCAGCACAGGCAGCAAAACCAGCACGTGAGGAGATGCCATGGCCCTGGTGCCCAGGCAGGCTCTGGGCTGCCTCTGGCTTTTGGAAAGCTGGTGTCCCAACCAGGCACTGCCCTCTGCACGTGCTGAGCCTCCCAGTACTTGTGTCCAGTTCTGGAGCTCCCAGTACCAGAAGGACATGGAGTTGTTGGAGAGAGTCCAGAGGAGGGAACTAAGATGCTCAGAGGGCTGGAGCAGCTCTGCTCTGGAGCCAGGCTGGGAGAGTTGGGGTGTTCAGCCTGGAGAAGAGAAGGCTCCAGGGAGACCTTAGAGCAGCTTCCAGTGCCTGAAGGGGCTCCAGGAAAGCTGGGGAGGGGCTTGGGACAAGGGCAGGGAGGGATGGGAGCAGGAGGAATGGTTTTCAACTGGAAAAGGGGAGATTTAGGTTAGACATTAGGAAGAAATTCTTCCCTGTGAGGGTGGTGAGACCCTGGCCCAGGTTGCCCAGGGAAGCTGTGGCTGCCCCATCCCTGGCAGTGTTGAAGGGCAGGCTGGATGGGGCTTGGAGCAGCCTGGGCTGGTGGGAGGTGTCCCTGCCCATGCAGAGGGAATGGGAACTGGATGAGCTTTAAGGTCCTTTCCAACCCAAACCAGAGGGTGATTCTGTGATTACTGGTGTCAGCCATGAAATGCCCAGCTCTGAGAGGCCTGGGAGAAGGTAGCACATCTGGGGGGGGGGGGGGGGGGAAAGTCTGGCTACAAGATGCAAGTGGAAGAGAGCAGACATGGTGGGGACAAAAGGATGGAAAGAACAGGATTCAAGACAAATAACAGTTAAGTCCAGAATCAGGTGGGACAGCTTGGTGGGATTAGTGCCTTCATCTTTCATCTCCCTGGGGGTGCAGGGATTTATCTCCCTTTCTGGCCCAGACTAACTGTGGGAGCTGGATTTGAAGGGTGTGAGTGAGGGGTGTAAATAAAAATATGAGGTGGGACACAGCCCTGACAGCTTCCCTGCTCTGCCAAAAGCAAATCCATCTTCCTGCTCCCATGGGGTGGCTGTGGGGACCCATCCTGAGGACGAGCAGAGCTCCTACCTTTGCTGATGTCCTCATATTCCAGCCAGAGCTGCCGCTGGACCTGCCTGTTGGGATACCAGATGGAGCAGGACTCCTCGAAGCCATACACTGCCTCCTGGATGTAGTGGTTGCCAAACTGGTCCAGCAGTGCCACGAAATCTCCCCGGGAAGTGGCCCCATCCAGAGAGTGGAGAGCATTGCTGAAGGCTGGGGAGGAGATAGAAGGAGATGCTCAGATCTCAGAGGACACCAAGCCCTTGGCCACCTCCCTTACACACTGGTGATGGGCAACCAACCTCTGAGCCCATCACCTGCCAGGAGAAGGCTGTATGTCCTCTCACCACCCCTCCTTCCCCCCCTCCAGTCCCACACACTTACACTGGGAGATGGTCAACTGGTTGAGCCGGACATGGTACATGACAGACTGGACCTTCCAGTGCTGCAAGAGGGGGTACCCAGACACCTCACTGAAGTTCACCATCCCTGTCAGAGAGAGGATGTGGGGGCTCAGCACTGCTGCCCAGGGACACTTCACTGTCACAGCCCCTCCAGCTGTGCCTGGGCCCAGTGCAGTGGGAAGGGGCTGGTGGAAGGACTGGACACACATCATGTCCCCCTCCAGGGAGGCATTTGGAGCTCAGGGTCAGCTGCTCCCCAGCAATTCAAGCCATGGCTTTGAAGGAAGGTACAGGGGCTCATTTCCTCCTGCTGCCCAGGGCTCTGCACCCAGAGATAACGAGCCTCCTCATTCATCCCCTCCTGCTTCCCTCCTGGCACCCACTCCCAAGACTCCCAGGTATGCTAATTACTTCCCTAATGAGAGCTGCACTTTTTAATGAGCAGTTTGCAGGCCTGGGAATGGTCACCATCATGCCACGTGTGTCCAGGTGCAGCCAAATGAGAGGCTCTGGAGTCCTCTTCAGCCAGGACTGAGCCAAGCAGGACACACAAGGATGGGAGAAACCACATCTGCTGATGCTTCTGACCCCTCAGGATGTTATGGCAATGCTGGAGCTGAGCAGGGCCTGGGGTTTCTCCCTCTTCTGGCAAAGAAACCTGGTCTAGTGGAAGGAAGCCCTGCCCATGGTGTGGGGATTGGAACTAGATGATCTTTAAGGATCCTTCCAGTCCAAACCAGTCTGTGATTCTGTGAAAGACACCCCATTCTCCAGCCATTTAACTGGGGAGGCAGAAATTCATAGACACCAAGGCTGGGTGGACACTTTGCCCTGCTGAAGGCACAGAGCAGCTCAGCTTCTATAAGCAGAGGGACAGAGAGGCCACCAAGCCCAGACACAGCCCCAGCAAGTCAACTTCAGGGTTTTCATGGCCCTGGTTTTGATGCCCAGCACATCTTGGGGTGTGCAGCAGCAGGATGCCAGCCCTGCTGGGCAGTGAAGATGCAAACTAATGCTGAACAGCCACCCAGCAGGAGCTCAGGAGGGGGAGAAGAATGGGCATCCCCTGCTCCACAACAAGAAATGAAGGTGGAAAACAAGCTGGATGAGATGCTTTGCCTCCCAGTGCCTCTCCCTTCGGTGCTGGCTCCTACCAGCAGCTTCAAAGCCTTGCTCTTCCCTGCAAAGTGTTTATGTGAAAACAGCCCTTCCTGCTCATCAGCTCTGCCTCTGGGGTATTCACAGCCAGATCCAGATCTGCCTGCTGACAAGCAGAGAAAAATTTTACTTTATTTTTCTTTTTTTCCTTTCCCCTTAATCAGCCACAAAGAGCCAGCAGAGCCCTGGGAAACGAACAGGATCATTTACTGGCTCCTGCTTCCCTGGCATAATTGCCAGCAGAGTCCCAGTCCCACTGTACCTGAGGGGTGGCAGTGCCTTCTTTCCATCCATGGAACTGTGTTCAGGGCAGCAGAACCTCATCGGGAGGGCAGATGTTCCCCAGGCACCCCATGGCTGCAGGGGTGACCCCCAGGCACCCTCCTCCCTGCCTGCATCTCCATTGCCAGGCACCCTGGCAGGGCAACCAGCCCATGGTTTCTCCCCACATGAAGCTTTGCCAAACAAAGAGAACACACAAGGTCTCCTATGGAACCACCCTGCAGGCGCCTTCCAAAACACCTTCCTACCCACATCCCTCATTCTGTAGCTCCTTGGCCATTTTAGCCAACAGCAACAACCACCAAGGACAAAAAGGATGCTCTTTATGGGTGCTGGCAACTTGGTGGAAGGAAGATAAATCCTTGGAGGTTGTCTAGCAATCCATAAGCCCATCACTCACAGCCCATGATGCTCTAGCAGGACAAACCACAACATTTTGGCTTCATTGCAGCAGGGATTTGGAAAATTATTTTTTTTTTGCCTTGAATAAAAAGATAATAAAGAATCCTTTTTGCAAATATCCCCAATATCCACTGGATGCTTCTGCTTTTGCACCACACTATTATTTACAGCCTCTCCTTCATCTGTAATGCCTCCCTCTGTCTGCTGCTGCAGGTGAGGGTGGGATGCTAAAGCCAGAGCTGGACTCACTCACCAGTGAGAAACTCAGGGTCAGGTGTGGGGTCAGAGAGCTCCTCTTGGCACTGGTTCTCCAGGGGCACCGTGGCCACCACCAGCCCATCGGGCAGTTGCTGCTCCAGGCCCCGGGCAAAGTTGTTCTGCCTGGAAGTGAAGAGGAAGGCAGGGCTGGAGGATGAGGGAACTGCCTGGGATCGTCCCCACCAGCCAGTGACACATCCCAGAGAGCCACCCAGCATCAAGCCTTTCCTTTGGACACACAAAGAGGTCTACTCCCGATGAAAAGCTTCACATGTGCCCACCCCACCAACCCCTCCAGCTCCTGCAAAGCTTGGCCAGGGCAGCCTGCTAAGGTCCAGCCCTAGGCTGCTTCCCATGCCTTCTTCTCGGAGAGAATGGCATTCTCGGGGAGAATGACCCTGCTGGGGTCACCTCTCCATGTCCCCAGCTCACCTGAACGTCCCTTTGAGCACCTGCCCCGCGGCCACCTCCTTGGAGTGGTTGTTGTAGCCATAGAAGATCTCCCCAAAGAGGGTCTGGTTCATGGGCAGCTCACGGGGCTCCCCACAGTCCCCTGCCTCGGGGCAGGACTCCGAGATGAGCTGGCACGACCGCCCGTCCGTGCTCAGCTTGTAGTCCTCGATGCACCTGGGAAGCCAGCGTGATGTCCACCATCAGCCACAACCCCCACCGTAGGGTAGGGATTGGGGCCACCCCAGTAGGGACACTGGGAACAGAGGAGACCCTCCCTCCCAATCCTAGGAGCTCAGGGTGGCAATGGCACAGGGACAGCAGCACCTCGGGGCTGAAGCAGGGACGGGTCACTCACCCGCAGAACATGAGGATGTTGTAGAGCAGGGGCTCCTCAGGCAGTGGGACCATCTGCTGCAGGCACAGCTGCTCACAGCCCCCGTTGAAGCCATCCGAGCAGTCCACCCCCACGTGGCGGTCGTAGCAGCCCGTGCCATCCTTCATGGGGCTCAGTCCTGTCGGGCACTGGGGGCGGGTGGGGAAAGCGGCGGGTGAAGCCCCCAAGGAAGGAATCTTGGAAGCCACACACAGCCCGAGCCATCTCCGGCTCTGGTGACGTAGCAGCAGGACACCCCAGACCCACAGATGTCTCTGTCCCGGGGCGCAGATGGCAAAGGAGTGGCAGTGGTGACAGGGGGACATGCATGAGTGAGGTGGGACTTTGTGGAGACCCAGCAAGCGGGTGGGCTCTCGCTCCCCCGCGGAGGGATGGAGATGCCAGCCTGAAAACACCTCTTCCCACTGCAAAACCAACCTCAAAACCTCCACCCCTGGGCGATGGGAAGGGAGGAAGGACTCGGCCCCATCCCCTCTGAGCCTCCCCACCCTTGCTGACGCCGGGGGAGACGTGCAGGTGCCCTGGGGACCACGCACCACGCAGCCCGACGAGTCCAGCTTGCGGTCCGAAACGCAGCGGAAGTTCTTGCTGCAGCCCCCATTGTCCCGGGAACAGTCACGGACGGGGCCGAAGGAGTCAAGGAGGACCTCCAGGCTGTCGAAGGAGGAGGAGGTCATCAGCTCTTCCCTGGGAGGAGGAGGGAGGAGGGAGGAGGAGACGTGTCACTGCTCCAACCAGACGACACAAGCGCATCGACAAGCACGGCTGCTGCGGAGGTTTGTGTGGGGTTTCCCTCGGGCTGACAGTGAACTGAATGGCAGCCAAGGGATGCAGGGGCTACTGAGAGTATGAGAGCAACCCCTGAAGGCACTAAAGAAGGGCAGGTGAATGGACCTACTCATCCCCATCTGCAAAATGTGGGGTCCCTGCTCTCATCAACCCCTGCATGCTTTGGGTCCCTCCCCTCGCTCCAGGGATGCACGACCAGGATAGTACAGAGCTTTTTTGTTGAAAGAGACCTTAAAAATAATCTAGTTCCAACTTCATTGCATGGGCAGGGATACCTCCCAGCAGCCCAGGCTGCTCCAAGCCCCATCCAACCTGCCCTTCAACACTGCCAGGGATGGGGCAGCCACAGCTTCCCTGGGCAACCTGGGCCAGGCTCTCACCACCCTCACAGCAAAGAATTTCTTCCTAAGATCTCACCTAAATCTCCCCTCTTCCAAACTGAACTGGTTCTGGCTCATCCCATCATTCCATGCCCTTGTAAAAAGTCCCTCCCCAGCTTTCCTGTAGCCCTTTCAGGGACTGGAAGGTGCTCTAAGGTCTGAAATGCCTCCTTAACACCCTTGCCCAAGCATGGCACCTACCTGACTTCCACGGCGTCCTCCATCACTGTCATGTCAGTCTTGCACTTGGCTGAGGGGTTGATGGCCAGCTCGGCTGGTGGGATGACAAAGCTCTTGCTCAGTGGCAGCCACATGCCCTCCCCCAGGGTGTAGGTGAACCTGGCAGAGAGAGCAGGGAAGGCTGACAGGGAGGGAAACGCCAAGCCAGAGGGTTGCCTCTACCCAAAAGCAAGCCCTTGAACCTCCCTGCTGCCCTGCAGGGATGCCAGCCAGAGCTGGGCAGGGTAAAGTGAGGCAGCTCCTCCAAATGCACCCAAACAACCCCAGAAAGCAGACATAATTTAGGTAACTAAAACAACCCAACAGACAGAGACTTCTCTTTTCAGAAGAAGTCCTCCCTCACAGCCTAAACTTTGTTCTCATCACAGAGGACCCAGCTACCAGGTACCCAGCATCCCACATGGCAGTTGTGGTAGGACTTTCCCAGCCATGCGTGCTTGTTCCCAGGAGGTGGCACAGGACAACTGTGCTCAGTCCTGCCAGCTGAGGGACCAGCCTGCCCATATGCCCTGAGTCATATTTTTGAGTCCTAGAAGCATGCTGACCAGGTTGCCTTTCACAGAACCACAGACTCACAGAATCCCAGGGGTTGGAAGGGACCTGGAAAGCTCCCCCAGCCCAGCCCCCCTGCCAGAGCAGGGGCACCCAGAGCACATCACACAGGATGGCCAGGGGGGTTGGAATGTCTCCAGAGAAGGAGACTCCACAGCCTCTCTGGGCAGCCTGGCCCAGGGCTCTGGCACTCTCACACCAAACAAGTTCTTCCTGACATTCACATGGAACCTCCTGGGCTCCAGTTTGCACCCACTGCCCCTTGTCCTGTCACTGGACATCCCTGCACAAAGCCTGGCTCTGCCCTCCTGACACTGCCCTGAACAGATCTGTAACCAGGGATGAGGTGGCCCCTCAGTCTCCTCCAAGCCCAACAGACCCAGCTCCCTCAGCCTTTCCTCAGCAGGGAGATGTTCCCCTCCCTCCAGCATCTCTGTGCCTCTGCCCTGGGCTCTCTCCAGCAGTTCCCTGACCCCCTTTCTAACCCACCCCAGGATCCATTGGCCTTCTTGGCCACAAGGGCACATTGCTGGTCATGCTCATCCCCCTGCCCACCAGGACCCCCAGGGCCCTACCCTGCTCTCCAGCAGCTCAGCCCCCAACCTGTACTGGTCCATGGGGTTCTCCTTCCCCAGATGCAAGACTCTACACTTGCCCTTGTTGAATTTCATCAAGTTTCTCCCTGCCCAACTCTCCAGCCCATCCAGGTCTCTCTGAATGGCAGCACAGCCTTCTGGTGTGTCAGCCACTCCTCCCAGTTCAGTGTCATCAGCAAACTTGCTGAGGGCACAGTCTGTTCCCTCATCCAGGTCATTGATGAAAATATTGAACAGCACTGGTCCCAGTACTGACCCCTGAGGGACCCCATTGGTCACAGACCTCCAACTACATCCTGCCCCATTGACCACAATTCTCTGACTTCTTCCTTTCAACCAGTTCATGATCCACCTCACCACTTGACCATCAAGACCACACTTCCTCAGCTTCTCTACGAGGATGCTGGGGGGAGGCAGTGTCAAATGTTTACTGAAATCAAGATAAACCACATGTACCACTGCCCTACCTACCGAAAGATCTTGTCAGATGGCTGCTCCCCCAGCACCAGGTCGAAGCCACGCTGGAAGATTGTGTATGGCCAAGGCCTGGAAGAGAAACCCAGCAGCATCATATCAGCATCATGTCCCCACCACCCAAAACACTCCCCTCATTTAGATCCCAGCCCAGGTGCAAAGGGGTCCTGGGATGAGTCAGCTCAAGCCAGGACAAGGTGATAAAACAGCCTCGCATCCAAGGGCTGAATTTTGAGGTTCTGAAAATATCAGCTCCTCACCTGAGCCCCAGCCCATCAGCAGGTCAGGGGCACATCACATCCTTCAGTTTGGAGTCCACCACACTCCCACTCCTGCCCAGCAGCTGGGAGCCTCATGCTTCTGCACCCTCGGGTCCCACCTGCTTGGCTCCAGCTTTAGGGATTTGCATCACAACCACTGAAATGCAAAAGAAACCCCACAACCAACCCCAAAAAGCATCTGAACCCCCTCACTGTGAGGCTTTTGCAAGGGAATTTATCAGGTCTGGGCCTTTAGTCCTTATTCCCACCTGATTTCCCTCGGCTTTAGGAGTGGAGGTGAGGGAGCCTCAGCCACCACAGGACATTGTGAAGGGGTCTGGAAGGCAAGTTGGATGTTTGGAGCCCAACAAGAGGCTGGAGAACTGATGGCATCTCCTCCACCCCTGCTGCTCTAGACAGCACAGAGTGACCAGGACTTGGTGGCCAGTGCCCTTCAGTTGAACACCTGCAGGCCCAGCACCTCAGGACATGCATCCTTTGCAGAGCAGCTAAACCCTAAAGCTCCAAATCCCCTTTGTGAGAGCTCAGAGCTAGGCAAGAAAGAGATTTTTCCACCCTGTCACACTGCTACTCTTAAAAGTCAGGGTGAGAGCATCAGGTGCCACCAACAAGCCCAGGGATTTTCTCCTGAGGCAATTACAGCTCCCTTGCTCAAGCCCCTTAATTCCTAATCTGAAGCCATTTCAGCCAAGACAAATAACCAAACAACCAAAAACAAGACACACACAAAATCAATCTTGATTGCAGGATTACAGGGTGCTGTCTCATTTCCTCACTGGGATATTCCACATTCCCAGCCTGCTGATGCATGGGAGTGAGAGATTAAATTCAGCCCACAGATCCGATTGCCCTGAAGGAGGTCAGCTCAGGCTGGAAAGGAATGAGCTCTCCCTGACCCCTGGGAATGCTTTGTGCCCCTGCCTTGGGTTTTATTCTTGGTCCCCAGGAGGGTGCTGGGCAGTGAACAAAAGCAGAGGCAAGGGATTGTTCCCCATCGGCTGGGGTGGAAAAGCAGTTGGGAAGAGTGGTGGAACCAACAGCACAGCTGGGATGTGCTGCACAACAACAGGTCTGGGATGTGCTGCACAACAGGCCTGGGATGGGCAGCCAGGGTTTGGATCTGCCTGGGTTGCATCCACCCAAAGTGCAATTCCAAAATTCGTGTGATGGTGACTTTGAGCCAGGAAAGAGGTTTCCATGCTCTGGGAAGGGACCTTATGGCATCTCCCCACTGTGCCTTATTTTTGCCTTTACTTAGGGCCAAAAAAAGGCTGGTATTTGGGTTGTGTGGTCTTCAGAGCTCATGAAGGCAAAGGGAACTGCTCAGAAGCAGCCCTGCACTGGGTCAGGTTGGATGAAGTGGGCCAGAAATGACAGCTCTTGGCTCCCTGCAAGCCTTGGCACTTGTGGGCATCCAAAACAGCAAAATGGGGGATCATCAAAGCAGCTGAGAACCAGCAAACCCTCCACATGCAGTCAGCAAGTTCCCACAGCCAAAAGCACTGCCAGTACCACCCCAGGATGATCTTCATGCCTTCTCTTTTGCTTTTTCCAGCTGGACCATCAGCTAAGGTTTGCTCCAGATCTGGGCTTGAGTGGAAGTTCTCAACTGAACAAGAGGAAACAGCCTCAAGTTGTGCCAGGGGACCTTTAAATTGGATATCAGGAACAATTTCTTCACCCAAAGTGTTGCTGGGGAGGTCAGAGGGGCTGCAGGTGAGGGGCTTTGCAGAGGCCACCAAGAAGCCACCACATGTGAAATGCCACTGGAGGAGAAGGTAACCAGGTGCTGTGCACTGAAATGGGTGACTTGATGTTGGGTTTCCACCCAGGGAGCAGCACAAGCCTGGCTATGCCAAACCCTGTGACGGCAGCAGCTCCGAGTACACGCTCAGAGCTCCCCTCATCCCAGGAGGTGAAGCCCAGGAAGAAGAGCCCAGAAGCACCAATAACCCTCCTGCAGCCCCACCATGACCACAGTGGGCACCCAGGAAGGCTCAGCACAGCCCGGAAGGGTGGTGAGCAGATGTGACACAAGCTCTGAGCTGCCAACTCCTGCCCAGCTCCTCCCCAGTATCACTTTGCTTTGCAAGAGCTTTTTACCCGGGGCTCCAGCTGCAGGTGCCTCCCCCCTTCCCACCACCTGACATCCCTTCCAACAGCTCTTTATGGAAAATGCTAATGCTGGCACTTTCTCCCTGGATTGCCCATAAATCTGTGAGGAGAATGGGGCAGGAGGAGGAGGAGGAGGGGACGGGTGGGTGGTTGGGTGAAAGGATCTGACAGGAAGAGGAGATTTTTCTCTGGCCGTCCTTCAAGCTGGCAAAGGTGCTCAGCAGGGGGTGGAGAGGGGCAGAGGGGGGAAAAAGAGGGAGAAAAAGTAGTGGGGGGATGGAAAAAAAAAAGAGGAAAAAGAAGACTTGAAGTAGGAACAGTGCTGTCCTTGTCACTGTTCCCCCAGCTCCTCAGTATGTTGGTACAAGCACTAGTGTGGCCAGCAGGACCAGGGCAGAGAACATCCCCCTACGTTTCTACATTTGGCCCTGGTGAGGCCCCACCTCAAATCCTGGGGTCAGTTCTGGGCCCCTCAAGACAAGAAGGACATTAAGGGGCTGCAGCTTTTCCGGAGAAGGGCAACAGAGCCCAAGAAGGGGCTGGAGAGCAAGACTGATGAGCGAGTGGCTGAGGGAACTGGGGGGGTTTGGTCTGGAGAAAAGGAGGCTGAGGGGAGAAGCTCTCACTCTCCACAACTACCTGGCAGGAGGTTGGAGAGATGGGGGTGTTGGTCTCTTCTTCAAAGCAGCAAGTGATAGGACAAGAGGAAATGGGCTCAAGAAATGGGACGTTTAGATGTGATATTAGGAACAATTTCTTCACCCAAAGGGCTGTCAGGCCCTGGCACAGGCTGCCCAGGGCAGGGGTGGAGTCACCACCCCTGGGGGGATTTAAAAGACTGAGGTACACGGGTTAGGGGTGGGCTTGGCAGTGCTGGGTTGGACTTAATGATCTTAAAGGTCTTTTCCAACCGAAACAATTCTAGGATTCTATGGTGGGACAGCAGGAGCTGGTGCACAGACATAGAGGGGGGATAACTATGGGCAGAGGAGACATGGGACAGTGGGGAGGGGGTTGGGTGAGCAGGGCATAGGCTGTGGCATTAATTTGGGTTCTGTGCTGGAATAAACAGCTGTGAGGCTGCTGGGAGGAGGGCTTGGATGGCCTCACTCGCCAGCTGCTAGGATAGAATGACAGTGCCCAGCAAGATGCATTTGCCAAAATACCTTAAACCAGACTTAAACCTCCCTCCATGCCAGGGCAAAGCCCATCACCAGTTGAAAGAGCACGTCGATAAAGCTCCCTTAAATGCAAATCACCTGGAAGCTCATCAGGGCTTCTGGAAAGGGCACCCAAGCAAGAAGAGCACCCGGGGTTGGGGAAGCCACGGGCCATCGCGTGACAGACCTAAGGGCTGAGATGAAGAAGTAAAAATGCAGGTTCCAGTTTATTAACTAAAGGCTGAATGATGTGATTTGACTTTCGGTCGAGTCATACTGTGAAGGAGCTGTAGGGATTTGGTTTGATGAGCAAAGACAAGGCAGGTTGGTTGGATTGCTGGAAACCAAACCCTACCCGGGGAACGTTAGAGCAAGAGCAGAAAAGCCACTAATTAGCAATGCTTATCAAAGGAGGAAGACAGACTGTGAACATGCAAACAGCACCAGCCAGATTTGTTCCAAACAGCTGAAGAACAGCACAGAAGAAAAAAAAAAATAAACAGCTGATCAAAAAGAGCTGATGTTTTGGAAAAAAGGCTGAGGATTTAGGGACGGGATGGGCTGGGTAAGAGCCAGAGGGGAGCGGCGCCGATCTCAGCCTGGCATGGAGCTTCTCTGCCATTGCCCACCAAGCTCAGAGATCAGCTCAACTTCACCAGCAAAATGAGATGCTGCTGAGTGAACAGACACCAAGTCAACCGGAATGACTGCCAATAAAAACGAGGCCATGGCAAGCCCACCTAAGCCAGAGGGTTGAAATTAATTTTCCGATAAAAACGCCAACCTAGGAGAACTGAAGAGGTCACAGCCAGACCAGCCTGTGGCAAAGTTCACCAAGGGGTTTGGCAGAGCCCTCAGGTCCTGCTTCTTTTATTCTTAGGAATAAATTCTTCCCTGTGAGGGTGGTGAGACACTGGAAGAGGTTGCCCAGGGAAGCTGTGGTTGCCCCATTCCTGGCAGTGTTGAAGGGCAGGTTGGATGGGGCTTGGAGCAGCCTGGGCTGGTGGGACGTGTCCCTGCCCATGCAGGGGGGTTGGATTGGATGATCTTCAAGGTTCCTTCCAACACAACCAGCCTGTGATTCAATGAAGAAACCAGAGAAGAGCAATGGGAGGAACAGTGTGAATCCACAGGCCCCTGCTCAGGAGCAACAGAAGAGCAGAGAGGAAGGAAACAAATGCTTCTCCACCTGTGCTTATCCATCTTTACTACCTGCCTCAATGGACAAAGTCATTTGCCTTCTTGCTTTATGGATGCTGGTGGCTCCACCCCACTGCTGGCAGCTCTGACCATGGCACAGACTGGCACCAAGGCCCTGGGTGCCCATGGGTGGCAAGGGACTCTTGCCAACCCACTGTGAGACACTCCTAAACCAAACAAATCCCAAAACAAGCAAGTCTCTGGAATAACCCTCCCATGACCCTGTCCCCATTACTCAGTGGGCACAGAGGAGCCAGGCATACCACTCTCCTGCCAGGATGACCAGGGCAGGCAGCTGCATGCTCTTCCCAGCCCTGGTTCAAAGCCCCCCATGGTGCCATCCTCCCACATGGGGCACAGAGGGGGTCCCACCAGGCCAAGCCTTTAAGGATTTTCTCTTCCCACTGGGATGACAAATTACTTCAGAGAAGCCATCCTGCCAGGCACGGGGATGTCACAGCTCCAGCTGCCACACAACAAGAGGAGGGGAGGAAAAAGGAGGTTGAAGGTACCGGAGTAAGTGGGGCCTCTGGTTTTGGGGGTGTCTGAGCTTTCTGCACACTGCCTCAGTCATTCCTGGATGTTCCCACCTGTATGTCAGAGATCCGTGAGTGTTGCTGAAACGTCAGAAAAATCTCCCTGTGCACTTGCAGGGGTGTAAAGCTGTGGAGCAGGTGGCTACTGCAGCCCAACCTCAGCCCTACTCCAACACCTTTCACACCCCAACTGAAAGCCCCACAAGTGCAGGATGCCAAGGATGCCAACAAGGGGAAGAGGAGCAGCCTCATCTCCAGGGGGGTGTTCACTCTGAAACCTAACGATGGCCTCTTCTACGTCACCTCTGATTATTTCCAAGACTAGAAACCTGCAGATCTGCTGTCAACCTTTTGATTCACCAACTCTTCCACCCACGAGGATTTCCCACAGCCCCAGGATGCTGCTTTTGAAGCCAGGCAGCTCGTGCAAGGCTGGTCCAAACCACAGCAGGTGCACTCACCCCTGGTTTGTTCCCCACTCGTTCCGGATGCAAAGATGCTTGTGCACGGGGTCCTTCATGTAACCTTCGTAGCAGAGACACTCACCTACAGAGACAAGGAGAGGGGACATGGGGGACATGCAACCACACAGGTAGCTCCAACCTCACTCGTGGAGGAAGGCAGGAAAGCATCTTCCCACCAGGCCCACCCCAACCACCAGAAGAGCACCCACCGGTCTCGGGGTCGCACTGGTGCTCGCAGGGGTCGAGGAGGCGCCGGGCACAGAGGTCCAGGGCCCAGGGCCCACTGGAGTTTTGCTGGGAGAAGAGGACGACCTGGGCCGGGTTCAGCCAGTCGCTGGCATCCAGCTGGCTCCCCTCCAGCAGGATGAACCGGCTCCCTGGCGCCGAGAGGGCAGTCAGCCATGGCCACCCCCTGCTGGGCCCTCCATCCCGTCATGGTCCTCTGCATCCCAGGATGACCCTTCCAGCCTCTCTGATGGGTGCCTACGTCCTGTGATGGGGTGCCTCCATCCCCTGGTGGTTACCCTCCATCTCCTGATGGTCCCCTTCATCCTGTGATGGACTCCTTCATCCCTTGCTCATCCCAGGACATCCCTTTAGCCCATGACAGCCCCTTCTGTCTCACAATACAACTCCTCTGGCCCGTGCCCATCCCTTCTGCCATGTGATGGCCTCCTCCAGCCCATACCTGGCTTCTCCATGCTATGACAGCCTCCTCTGTCTCACAATGGCAGCCTCCATCCCACACTTGTCCCCATCATCCCTGCTTCTCCCTCCCACCCTCCCATCCCTGCCCGTCCCCTCCATCCCACATTCATCCCCTCCATCCCACGCCCATCCTGTGTCCCACACCAGTATCCCTCCATCCCACACCAATACCCTCCATCCTGCATCCATCCCCTCTGTCCCATGACAGCCATCTCTGTCCTGCACCTGTCCCCTCTGCCCTGTGTCCATCCCCTTTGTCCCACACCCATTCCCTCTGTCTCACACTGGACCCTCCATCCCGTGCCTATTCCCTCCATCCTGCCCCCATCCCCTTCTTCATTCCCTCCTCCCTCCATCACAGCTCAGAGGGTGGGGTGGGATAGGACCCTAGGACACTCACCATCAGCGATGAGGTGCTCAGGGACATGGAGGGTGATCTTGACAACCAGGGGGCAGTTCATGTGGGAGGAGCAGACCAGGCTGATGACACAGCTCGTCACGCTGATGAGGGTCAGCGTGGTCTTGTTGACTGGGCTCCGGGGGGAACCCACTGCAGAACACAAAAGCACAGTCATACATGAGAGCCAAGGGACCCCAGGAACATCTTGGGGTGCAGCCTCTATCCTGCTCTTCCTGAGCCCCCACAGCTCAGGCTCTCCCACACCCCTGCACCCCGAGACCTTTGCAGCAGCAGGATGTCAAAGCAGAGCACAGACAGTGAAGACAAGAAAGGTAAATCCAATATCCTTTTATATTTACACCTCCCCCCCCAACCATCTTCTTGGCACTTCTCTGGGGTTAGTTTTGCCATGACAATGGCCTCCTGGATGCCTTAAAAAAAGCATCATAGAGCCCTCAGGGCACTGGGCATGCAAGTCTTTGACTTTCCATCTCTCTGCTGATGGAGATGAGTGGAAGAAGCTGGCTGAGGGCTGAGCTATCCCCTGAGCCTGAGCCTGGCCTCCTAGAATTGGCACTGAGGGTGAAAGGAGATGGCTCCCAGGCCCCCAGAAACAAAGTACCATCCAGGAAATGGGGGAGACCAGAGAGAAATATCCTTCCCAAGGGAGGAAACTGCCCAAAGGGATGGTCGCCTTGCCCTGGGACCAAGCTGGTCTCTATCTCCCATTGCATATACAGCTCGTGCATGCACAGTGCCAAGGCAAAGCCACAGCCCAGGAGCTGATGGGGCAGGCTCTGAAGGACAACGCTCATGACTCCACACCAAAGCCCAGCAGGAGCCTCCAGCCACAACCAGAACATATTTCAACCTCTGCTGAGAATCTCCACCTTGAGGAGGTGGCAGTGGGGACCAGCACCTGCCAACGGCAGCCGGGGTCACTATCCCTCTTTTGCTGACGGGAAGCCTCCAAACCTGGTGGCAAACAAAGCCCCCCAGCCCCACCTCTGCACCCACCTCGGCTGCGCCTCCGGCTCCGCGAGGGGTCCGTGTAGAAGGTCAGCTGGGGGTCGGTGTCTGCCTCCGTCCCCGAGTCCCCCTCGGGGTTGAGGAACGCTGAGCCGGCTGCAGGGGACACCCAGCGTGGTCACCGTGGGCTCAGCACCACCTCAAACCCCCAAGCAGCCACGTCCTGCATCACCCCTCACAGGCAGTGGCTTGGAGATGAGCCAGCACGTGCCCAGGAGGGCAGCAGCATCCTGGGTTCTATCAACATGAGCGTGGCCAGCAGCACCAGGGCAGGGACACTCCCCTGTGCTTGGCACCACCTCAAGACAAGAAGGACATGGAGAGGCTGGTGCGTGTCCAGAGAGGGGCAACAGAGCCCGAGAAGGGGCTGGAGAACAAGTCTGATGAGGAGCAGCTGAGGGAGCTGGGGGTGTTTGGTCTGGAGAAAAGGAGGCTGAGGGGAGAAGTTCTTACTCTCCATAACTCCCTGGGAAGAGGGTTGGAGAGATGGGGGTGTTGGTCTCTTCTCCAAAGTAGCAAGTGGTAGGACAAGAGGAAATGGGCTTAAGAAATTGGACGTTCAGATTTGATATTAGGAACCATTTCTTCACCCAGAGGGTTGTCAGGCCCTGGCACAGGCTGCCCAGGGCAGTGGTGAAGCCACCATGCACGGAGGTGTTTAAAAGGGTGAGCCTTGCCTTGAAGAACAGGTGCCCTGCCTAAGACGTGCAGCAAGGCCAGCATCTCCTCCTCTCCCCACCACATGCAGCTCCTTGCCATGGCTCCAATCACCTTGCAACTCATCCCCACGGCCACACTGCTACCACAAACCCTTTCCCATGGCCAACCCCCTCTGCATCTTTGCAACCAACACACCCAAGATCATTTGCATCCTTGCAGACCCTCACCCAGCCCCTCATCTCCACGCTCTGGCCCCTATTTCTCCATTCCATGGGTGGCAGGAAGGTGGGGAAGCCCAGAGCACCCCAACCACCCCTCCCATACCTCGTGCCTTGTTGTTGATGCGCTTGCGCTGGCTGCTGGAGGTGTGGGACAGCAGGGTGGCCTGCTGGTGGTTTGAGTCCACGGGGCTGGTGGCAATGATGTTGTCCTTGTACTTGTTCATCAGGGACAACTTGGCGTTATCGCTCCCTGAGCAGCAAGAATTGGAGGCAACAAAAACACGTTTCAGGGATAAAGATTTTTTAAAAAGGAGGGAGGCGAGAAAGTTCCCCCTGGATCCATCCCTAGGATCTGCATGAGGTGACCCCAGTGCCACCTCAGGAGCTCCTCAAAGCCACAGGCACCTCCACTAAGCCAGGCAAAAGCTGAGCTTTAACATTCAACCTCACTTCTGCACGCCCAGGTCTGTAATGAAAACCCCTGGAGAGCTTTAGGAAGCACCTCGTGGTCTTCCCAAACCACGAAGGCTCTACTTGGGTGGCTCAGTTGGCAACGTGGCCAACAAGCAAACGTGTTACAAGACTCCAAGAATCCCTGCTGGTGATCAGAAGACAGTGTCATGCTGTCTTCTGAATCGTACTGATGGCAAGCATAATCTTGGCACTAAAAACCTCAGCTGAAGAAGACAGCAGAATATAGATATAGATGGGAATTTTGGGGTAGTTTGGTGAGGACACCATTCTGGTTCTCCATCAGCCCATGGGAAACCACAACCCTTCCCATCAAAGCTGCACTGACCCAGCCATACCCCACTCAGCAGGGACTGCTCTCAACCAGCTGCAAGGTCTCCCAGCCACGGAAATCACCCTCCGAGTGCCACCTCCTGGCCTCATGCCCCACAAAAAAAAACCCCAGAGAAATGGGGAAAACGCCGAAGGGAAAACAACACGCACGGAACGACGGGAAGGGACGATGGGAAGGACCCAGCTCAGCCCTGTTCCAGCCCCACCTGGCGTGAGGTCCATGCTGGCCTTCTCATTGCAGCCCTGCAGCGAGTCCAGGGTGCGGGTGACCTGGCTGGTGAAGTCCTCCCCGCCGTTCATGCACTCCCGCTGGAGGTGGTGCCGCAGGTCGGTGATGTCGTACTCGTAGCCGTCCAGGATGGGGGTCTCCCGGATGCTGAGGGTCCCGCTGGAGTTGTGGCCCTGCACGCGGGCGTTGCGCAGGCTCTCCCGCCCGTGGCCCCCGATCAGCACCGAGGGGATGTAGTGGATCTCGTTGGCCGCCTCGGCGCTGGCGCTTTTCTGGGGCTGCGGCACCCGGCGCCGCTTGCACCAGCGCCGGCGGGTGTAGAGGATCATCACCAGGCAGAGGATGGAGAGCAGCAGGGCGATCATCCCTCCCTGCGGGCACAAGGGGGAGGTCACAGTGCCTTCACAGAATCCCAGCAACGGCCCGGTTGGGAAAGACCTTTCAAGACGATCGGGTCCCAAGCAGAACCCGACTCTACCGACCGTCCACCTGACTCTGCCAAGCCCAGAGCTCAAACCAGGTGCACAGAAGAGACCCCAGAGCAGGAGCGTGGACCCAAGGATGGGACCAAGAGACCCACAGCCACCTCCTCCCAGCCCAGCGAGGCTCCCAGCCCAGGTTTGTCCACCCCAGGAGCGATGGAGAGAGGGTGACACGGTGCACCACCATCTACACGGCTCTGAAACACCTCCAGGGATGGTGCCTCAAAAACCTGTTCCACTGTTTAATTTAATTTAACAGGATCCTGGGTTGCACCAAATAAAAAAAAAGCATGGCCAGCCAGTTGAGAGAGGTGATTCTCCCCATCTACTCTGCTCTGCTGAGACCCCACCTGGAGTCCTGTGTCCAGTCCTGGAGTCCCCAACATAAGAAGGGCATAGAACTCCTCAAGCATGACCAGAGGAGAGCCACAAAGATGATCAGAGGGCTGGAGCACCTCCCCTGTGAAGGCAGGCTGAGGGAGTTGGGGTTGTTCAGCCTGGAGCAGAGGAGGCTCCGTGGTGACCTCACAACAACTCCCCAATATCAGAAGGGGCCCTACAAGAAAGCTGGGGTAGGGATTTTTACACAGGTGTGGAGCAAGAGGACAAGGGGCAATGGTCTGAAGCTTAAAGAGGGGAGATTCAGGTTGGACATTAGGAAAAAGTTATTTCCAGTGAGGGTGGTGAGATACTGGAACAGGTTGCCTGGGGAAGCTGTGGCTGCCCCATCCCTGGGGGTCTTCAAGGCCAGGTTGGATGGGGCTTGGAGCAACCTGGTCTAGTGGGAGGTGTCCCTGCCCATGCAGAGGGGATAGAACTAGATGATCTTTAATGTCCCTTCCAACCCAAAGCAGTCTATGATTACCCTTTCAGTGAAGAAGTGTCTTCTAACATCTAATCCAAACCTCCCCTGGGGCACCTTGAGCCCATCTCCTCTTGTTTTATCACTTGTAACTTGGGAGAAGAGACCAACCACCCCTTGCTCCAACCACCTTCCAGGTTGTTGCAGAGCAAGAGGGTCTCCCCTCAGCCCCCTTTTCTCCAGCCCAAACACCCCTAGTTCCCTCAGCCACTCTCCATAAGACTTGCTCTCCAGGGATGCACCGGGGTGGCCAAGGAAAGGGCAATGACAAGAGGGGCCTGGTGGCACCCACAGGAAGGTGGTGGCACAGAGAGCACCAGGCCAAGCTTTGAAGTCACCACTGAGGCATGAAAGAGCAGCGTTTAAAGCAGAGCAAGTTCTGCTTCACTCTGTCACAACCCACCCTTGAAAGCTGAGAGTAAATTTATTCCAGGCAAACGCTCCTACGGGCAACTTCTCCTGACCCATTTCCTACCAGTTTCACTGCTGTCACTCTCAATCGTGGGAGATTTTCCCAGGGTATCTGGCAGAAATTACAGCACAGATTAAAGGAGATCAAGGCTGGAGGCAGCCAGAGGACTGATGTGATGTTTGGAGAATGCTGGAGGGGGTGGAAAAGGAACTGGAAAAGCTCCTGCCCCACAAGAACATGGAACCTGAAACTGCACCCAGCCCTGCCACTGTCCCCAAGGTCACCCTCCTGAGGGTACATTGTCACTGGGTGCAGATAGAAGTGGTGAGATGGAAGACCAAGCTGGCCCTTTGTGCCCAGCATGCCAATAATGATAATAATATCAATAATAATTAAAAAATAATCACCAGAAGAAGAAAAGGAAAGAGAGAAAGAAGAGGATGAAGAAGGAAGGTGTGGAGAAGAAGGATAAAGAGCACATGGAGCCAGCTAAGAGCTCACTGTCCAGCAGCAGCTCTGGTCCCCTCCTCTTTTCTATGCAATAGGTGATCTTGATAAAATAAAATAATGGTAATAGTCTGTTCCATTAGGACAAACCATTAAGGGGATTATTGAATGAGCCACAGGAAAGGCAGCTGGAAAAGGAGCTCTAATGGCCATTAAGGTTTAACCCTATTTCATTCCCAGGATAATGGAGCTGGGCTGCACTTTCCCTGCCCTGCTGCCACACTGAAAATAAAAGAAGAAGAAAAAAAAAGAGAGAAAAAACCAAGAAACTCCAGTGATTAAGGATTCAAACAGTCCAGGGGGGCTGGCTGGCATGTGGCATCTCTCCAGCCAGGAGCATGCAGCTGGGAGGACAGGAAATCTCCTGCCAGGCCTGGCACTGGATTCCTGTCTGGAGTTTTTTAGGGGTAAAGGCTGGGCCTAATTCTCTGTCATGTTCAAATCCCTTTGAGTTACTCTGATCCTTAAGTAATTTGGGCTATCCCCATCCCCCACTGGAGAGGGCCCCCCTGGTCACAGCTCTCCATCACCCCAGGGAAGGGTGCCCCTGCAGATGAGGTGACAAGCAGATGGGAGTAACACACGGACATTCCTGGCTTTCCTTATGGACTTTATATCCCATCTAAACACCAGAGAGCTCTGCCCCTGCTGGGAAACAAGGGAGACTGAGCTAAAGCTCAAGTCTGGTGGACACCTGTTTGTTTAGGACAGGGATGTGGGTTCTCCAAAAAGACCTGTTACTGAATCAAAATGGAATTTATTCTGCCAACTGAGATTTCCAGAGGTTCCAAAGGGACCATCCCTAAGCCTCCTCCACCCCATGTCAGCTGGAGGGGTCAAGGCACCACCTTAGAGCCCCAGTTCCTCTCCATGGGAGCACAAATTTCCCCTTCTGCCTTCATCTTGCCCATCCTGCCACTCCTGGGATATTCTGGGCAGGTGCTGGAGAGCTTCTCACACGGGCTGTGGGCCAAGCACTGCCACAGTGGGCACAGCTCCCTGCTCATGCTTCTCTTCTTGCCAACCAGCCGGGTAAGAGAGAGAGACAAGGCAGAGACAGAGAGCGACAGACAGAGACAGACATCAGGGAAGAAAGAAAAGAAAGAAAAGGAAAAAGGGAAGGGAAGGGAAGGGAAGGGAAGGGAAGGGAAGGGAAGGGCAGGGAAGGGAAGGGAAGGGAAGGGAAGGGCAGGGAAGGGAAGGGAAGGGAAGGGAAGGGCAGGGAAGGGAAGGGAAGGGAAGGGAAGGGCAGGGAAGGGAAGGGAAGGGAAGGGAAGGGCAGGGAAGGGAAGGGAAGGGAAGGGAAGGGCAGGGAAGGGAAGGGAAGGGAAGGGAAGGGCAGGGAAGGGAAGGGAAGGGAAGGGAAGGGCAGGGAAGGGAAGGGAAGGGAAGGGAAGGGCAGGGAAGGGAAGGGAAGGGAAGGGAAGGGCAGGGAAGGGAAGGGAAGGGAAGGGAAGGGCAGGGAAGGGAAGGGAAGGGAAGGGAAGGGCAGGGAAGGGAAGGGAAGGGAAGGGAAGGGCAGGGAAGGGAAGGGAAGGGAAGGGAAGGGCAGGGAAGGGAAGGGAAGGGAAGGGAAGGGCAGGGAAGGGAAGGGAAGGGAAGGGAAGGGAGATCAGCCTTCAAAACTCCACGTTATCATGACTCCTGGCACAAAAATCTACCTTGATTTGTCAGGGTGTAAAGATGCTGCCAAGGCAGAGCTGAGTGATGGGGGGAGAATGGGGAAAGAGAGGATTCAATCTGTATTTGGTACGAGAGCAGTGCATTGCAGACATGCTTCTCATCAGCTGGATGATCAGCCTTGGTTCAGGCCCTCCTGTCTCCATCTATTCAGTAGTGCTCATGAAAACCACCATAGTGGCAGAGCAGGGAGGCCCCTTGAGAGCAGCTGGGAAGGGCCAAAAAAAAAAAAAATAAAGAAGGAAATAATCCTAAATGCTTTTTTTGGGGGGTGGTTTTGCCAATGATTTATTTTATTTTATTTTTCCTCAAGACTAATCAAGTAGAAATGATGGAGGAGAAACCTGCCCTGGGGCTGGAAGAGCTATGGATGCTCTCATTGTGGTAGACACCATGAAACAGCTTGTTTGCAGCACATTGTCTCCAGCTAATTATCTTCCAGCAGCACAAAAATTGTCAGATTCTTCAGATTTTCTCCAACATCCGAAAAAAAACCAACCCAACAAACCCCAGATCCACCTCCAACCTGCAGGTCTCTGCTTCAACCTCCTTTCTCCTTCAACTGGAAGAGGGGAAATTTAGGTGATTCTTCCCTGTGAGGGTGGTGAGAGCCTGGCCCAGGCTGCCCAGGGAAGCTGTGGCTGCCCCATCCCTGGCAGTGTTGAAGGGCAGGTTGGATGGGGCTTGGAGCAGCCTGGGCTGGTGGGAGGTGTCCCTGCCCATGCAGGGGGGTGGGACTGGATGATCTTTAAGGTCCCATCCAAACCAGTCTGGGATTCTACGACTCTACGAAACACACAGTTTCCAAAAGCCCCTGTTATTTTTTGGACTCCCCCATCACATACCATGACAGAGATGTGGAGAATCCTCAGCTCTTCTTCTGCTGACTCAGTCTGGGGTTCATCAGTGGGTTCAAAGCCAGGCAGGTTGGGGGCCCCATCCTGGTGGTGGATGTGGAAGAGCAAGGTGCCGTTCTCCAGCCACTGCTGCCGCCAGCGCACCAGGGGGATGTCATCCGTGTTGCCCGAGATCTCTGCAGGGGCAAGACCAAAACCAGGCACATGGGAAAGGTGGAGGAGGAGAGGGGAGATGGGAGACATCCACCTCTTCCCAAAAAAATTGACCGAGGGACACACACAGCAGGCTCCATCCTCCTGCCAGGATGGTGGTTGCCCCTAAGTGATCCGCGACCTGAAGGGTTAAAGTGGAGTCACATCGTGTTTCTGGGCTAAATCCAGATGTGGATCCCTCTAAAAAATCCAGATGTGGTGCAGGGACATAACACTTCCTGACAGCATCTCAGAGCCTGGCAGCATCCTTCCAGCCCTGAAGTGTTTCACCCACACACTTCATGTTAAACACAGCACCAACTGCAGGGATCACGGGGTGTAGGACAACTTCCCAGCAGCTCTAATGGGATCACTGGGATCATGGCACTAAATTGTTGCAGACAGAAAACACTTCCTAACCTTTGTGGACAGAGAAATATGGACAATGGCACCTGCAGCTCTGGCTGTGATCAAGGTGCATTCACAGACAATCAGTCTCCAGCCATTTTTTATAGCTCCTCACACAGGACTCAGCCCCGAGAAGTGCAGATGTACCTGCACCTTCTGCCCCAAAACCCCGACTTGCCCCTTTAACTTGAGGGTTTGGGGGCAGTGGGACAGATGGCCAGGGCTGGGCTGAGGAGTGATGGCAGCAGAGGACAGCCAAGCAGGAGGAGCAGCTGAGGACAGGGACATGACACGTGCCACGGGACGCTGAACACTGAGTCCAACCACATTCACCTGCCTGACTACAAAATTCCAGAGACAGCTGGTTCCTAGCAGAAGGGAGGGTGACACTGGCACTGCTTTAACCACCACCTCCACTGCAGACCAGGTCACCTTGACCACCATCTCAGACCAGCTCCACCTCAACCACCCCCCTGAGCCTGTCATCAGCCCACTAGTTATTTTTCATGGAAACACAAGCTCCAGCTGCACTTGTTGGAACAACCACAAACCTCAGCAAGATGCAGCTTCCCCCTCCTGCCCCTGTCCCGTGGGGACAATCCAGCTGGACCCCCCCTGCTCCATCCCACTCACAGCCCCCCCATTTTGCTGGCAGTGGGAAAGAGCCCCGCTCGCTTTGCAAATCCTCCTCCTCATTCCTCTCATCTCACCCGGCCTCAAAATGAAACCTGAATTCAATTACAGGGCTGAAAAAAACCCCAACATTTTACATTTACTGTTAATTCATTTCATTAGGGCTGCCTTAAGTGAGCTCGCATGGGGGGGGAGGGGACCTGCTGCATCAGGAACCTTGTCCCAAACTGATTCCATTCCTCAAAAGAAACATCAGCCCCAGCTGCCAACTGGCAGATCATCTCTGCTCAGCACCAAGTTTCTGGTGGCAACCAGCACCCTTGGAGCACCTTGAGCAAAGAGATGCTGAGCTCTCCTGGAAGCCAGAAGCTTCTTTGCCACCAGGAAGCAAAAGCCAGGGGAATTAAAGCACCCAAGAAGCCAGAAGCACTTTTGAAATTCCCTCTAAGCTGAGATGCAGGTTTAGGCACGTGGATCCCCTTTTAAAAAGCAGGTCCTGGGAGGCAGGAGGGTTTGAAGAAGCAGATCCACTCCCTTCCCACCTGCTCTTCATGCATGGGCTGAAAAGGGGAAAACAACTTTTCCTGCCTTCCCAACTCCCCACGGCTTCTCAGCTTCACATGAACTAGTTCATTGGGAAGAAAATCTCCTCCCTGCACCTGCTAACGTGAAATTAGGAGTAATTAAGGCAAGAGCTTTTATGCCAACAGGAACTCAAGGTAGTGACATTTGGGAAAATGTAAATACCAGCGTTGGCTCCATTGTAAAGAGTGAAAATAATAGATACTAAGTATACGACTTTGTGACATTTAGAAAGCTGGAGTTAAAGATGTTTTCCCCCTGATCTGACATATCACTGAAAAAGCAGCACCCTTTGGTGCATTAATATTTGAGGAGGACTCCTTGATGGAAGTTATTTCAGTGATGAATAGATGATAGTAAATTTAAGCCTTGGAAGAGGTTGTCATAATTTCAAATTTACTTAAACAGGCTTATTTTGAAAATGAAAAATACATTTCCAGGAAAAAAAAATAATGGATTCTGGTTTGAAAAGAGCTCCAGAGCCCCAGGGCATGATCCTCTCCTACCAGACATCAAGATGTGACCCTGTGGCTGTGTCACACATCTGTCCCAAGTGCTAGAAACAGAGGAAAACAGAAATCAGCAGGTTCTGACTCCAAAGCAGGAGGTTGTGACTCCTGCATCACACCTCAGGGCAAGGTTGCTTCATTGCCTCTGCTCCTGCTCTGGCTTCTTGAGGGGGTATACCCAGATGAGAGAGCTTCATCCTTGGACCTCCTCATCCTCAAGGGTCTTAGCAATGCTCCAGCTGCCCCATTTTGACTTAAAAATAATAACAATAATAAAATAAATGCTTTCCTGACCTCATTCAGTTCTCCTGAAGTTTGGTTCATGAAAGACCAAGAGAAGACCAGGAGCTGGGCTGAGACCAAGCCCAAGTTTCTCCCTAACACAGCATCTCCTTGCTCTCTCTTCTCCCACTCCAATGCACTTCACTTTGATCTTTGCTTTGTTCTCCAAGCAAGACATCTCATCACCTGGTGGGAGATGCTGCAATGACCCATGTAGCCAACTGAGGGCCATTTACCTGGCTGCTGTTGGGGCTCAGCTCTGTGGTGGGGCTGGACAGTCCCAACCAGCTTGTGCCACGGGGCCAGAAGACCCCAGAAGAGGTGGGAAAGAAAGCAGAAAAGTCCAAAAAGAAAAGAAAAGAAAAGAAAAAAAAAAGAAAAGCAGGGGAGAGAGGATATTTTCAAGTTCAAAGTTTGAAAGATATTGATGGTAGGCCTGGTCCCTGCATGGCTTTCATTAAGGCCTTGGCTATGAAGCCATTAGCACTAGTATTAACTTCTTGCACCTCTGTTAAAAAATAGCCTGCCTGAGTCAGGGGTTAATAACAGCAGGAGACCACTAATTAGGCTGTGCCACGTTTGCCTGGTATCAAACGTGGCCCAGGTCCTTCCTATCTACAGGAGGAGCAGCCTCCAAAGAGCCCAGCTGATGCTTTCAACATAAGGGCCGTGGCTGCTCCCCTCCCAGAGCATCTGCCAGGGGAGGGAGAGGGAAGGTTGTAGAGGAGGAAACTGAGGAGAGGAGAAGAGGAAAGTGTGGATAAAGTTGCTGCAGACGGGTGGATTGACACCTGCTTCTTTCCTATGGATCATCCCAAACGACCCCACCTCCCTGGGGTCCAACACAAAGCAAACCCAGTCGTTCTGGAGGCAACATCTCTGCTTCTTCTGGTTGTGGGAGGCAACGTTTCCTTCACAGCCCAATTCAGCCACTGAATGGACACTGCAACTGAATTCAGCCACTGGTGTGACACTGAAACGGTGGCCCCCGAGCCCAGCACTGACATGGACCCCTCCCCACATCCTCATCCTCCTGCTCTCACCTGCCATGGTGGCAGGAGGGAAAGCACACAAAGAGAGCAGCTCTCCTCAAAAACACACGCCAACATTCGGATGAAAAAAAAACCAACCCCAAACAACAAAGCATAAAGCCAATTTCCCTTTCCATTTGGAAGCATTTGGCACTAACAGAAGTCCCTGATTAGTCAAATGAACTGGGCCATAATGCCAGTCTCCACAGACTCATTTCATACAGCAGCTTTTGATTTGGACTTATGTTTCCTCGTTAACATTTAAACCTGGCTTCTTTTCCACCCAGAACCTGACTGTGTTTTTATTTAAGTTCCCCTTTAAGGCCTCTGCTGTGTGTCTAAACCTCACACACCCTTTAAAAGCCTTTAACTCAGCTAAAGCCAGTCCTGGCCTTGGAGGCTCCTACAAGGGCCTCCAACATCTAAAGTCACTTGGGAGACCTTCCCACCACCAGCCACTCACAGTCTGCACTGGGTCCTCAGGACTTGATTCTCACCAATTCAGATGTCAAAACACGTTTCCTGGTATTTAACTTGTTTTTACTTCCAGGTTTTAGTGACCCATCTTTCATGGGATAATATTCAAGGTTTTATGGGCTCGTTTCATAAAAATCACATTCATCACTGACTATCTAGGTTTTATCTGCATTTTTTTTTATCCCATCTTCAGTCTCGGGTAGGACAACCAGCTCATTTTGTAGGTCATCCTGCCTTTTCAAGACAATCCAGCTTTTCCATACCAGCAAACACAGACCTCACTTGGTCTGTCAGGAACCTGCTGCACCGGCCACCTCGGGCAACATTTCCAAAACACCCACAGTCACAGGAGAGCTTGAAGGATCCAAGAAAAGCCACCTGCTGTACTTGGAGAGCCAAGTTCAGAGGGAACACCCCACCATGACACCTGCACACGTGGGGCTGGTGCAGGTGAAGCTGGTGTAGCAAGGCTGATGTCTAAGCAGGCTTCTCACTGAAACGTAGGGTGCTTTTGCTTTTGGGGAAGGCCATCAAGGAGTTACACTGCAAAGCTGCAGCCTTTCTTCAGCCTTGAAGAAGGGATTTTTGTCCCAAATGTGCCACGGCCCAAATGCTTCCCTTTCTTTCACAACCAACCCCTTCATCACTCACGCAGTGACCTTGTGTGGAGCGAAGGACGCAGGTTCATCATTAATGGCTCTGAGTCGAGTGGGTTTGCTCTGCAGCTGCTGACCTTGCAATGTGATGTGCCCCACTCTTCCCTGCAGACCCAGAGGTGTTCCCAACCCCACCCGTGCAACGTCCTCGATGAGGTGGTTTTTCCACCTCATTTGTCATTTTTGACCAAACACCAGGAAAATAAACCAGTGGCTGATGCAACGAGCAGGCTGGGATGTTTGGTGGTGCTTGGCTTTTCACTCCTGTTCTGTCCATTTGGTCCCATCCACCATAACTGTGAACTCCAGAGATGTGGGACAAACCCACCTTGTGGCCCAACACTCTGGAGACACAGTCACGTGAGAAAAAAAACCAACCCAGATCCACACACAATGGGATCAAAAG